CCGCAAAGGACCGGGGTACAAAAAAATTACGTGAGACATGTTGAAGTCAGGTAGTATAGTCGAGTAAGTTTCATTTGGCAAATGAAATGTCGTGAGGTCAATTCTTGCGGGCTCCATGCTGTTACGGATGTTTTTGAAAAGTACAAGATTAATTATATATTACATAAAATGTTTAACAGATGCCTTAGTACAGTGGTTTACCACATTTCCCGATTGCAAGGTCCTGGGTTCGATTCCCAGTGTGCATATTATCACAGTTGTTTCACACATATATTATAATATATTTAAGAATCTCACAATGATAATTTTACCAAAACGCTTCGCAACCCTAAGACGATTTCGTCGCCTCTTGTTTTTTTTTTTTTTGAGCGAGCTTGCATGTGATTTTGCCTCTTGATTTTCCTTCTTGCTGCCATTTTTCGTGGCTTTTCCTTTTGACATTCCCTGAGTAGGCTTGCCAACTCTTAATTTCCAAAGTACAGCTCCAACCAAGAGCCCGTGGTTAAATATGAGGAAGTAAAAACAACTTGCAAGTCCCCCCCCCCCTTTTTTTTTTCACAACAAGAAATACATTTCAGAGCCATCTATCAGCCACCCTGGCCTTAATCTAAGGGTCCCCTGACCTCTTTAAGTCCCTAGGCTGCTCCACAGCCGTGCACCCCCTGGTGCAATCCCCTATGCTCTTTCGGCAAGCGGGGAAAGGGGCATCGCCCTTGGTTACTCCTCACACCACGGGTGTGGGGCCTTGTCCGCCGTGCCCCCCCATGGGGCAGGCGTTTGCCATGTGCCCGGGCTGGCCACAGCGAAAGCAGGTGCCCTTGAAGGCCCTGTTTTGGCATGAGCCTTGTCCGGCACCTTTGTTGCCAATTTCCCCGTTGTCGAGGCCGTTACCGCGCACGGTGCGATTATAGCTCATGCGGGCGCGCTTCGATGCAGCCACGTCTGCCACGGCCAGCTTGTAGGAGCAGGAGGCGAGCACACTCTTCGATTGATATAGTTGGAAGCGGTCGGCCGCTTCAAAACCCACCTCGTCCGCCACCAAGAGCACCTCGAAGCGCTTGTTAATGAGCGTTTCAATTTGAGTGACGTTGGCGAGCGCTCCTTCTGCATCGCCTTGCTGCAGCTGGAGCTCCATGAGCCTGAGGTGGGCTTGGATGGCAGAGAAAACCTCTACCTGATCACGCACACCCTTGCGGTTGAAAGTGGTAGTTGCGGTTGAGGGAGCGAGCGAGGGGAGAGTGGAGCGAGGGGCATTGGAAAAAATTGGATTGCGGCAGCGAGGAGCCTCACCAGCAGCATCTTCGGACTCGTCGCTGTCTTCTTCGGCGGGTGCCGGAGCGGGGTTCTTCTCGACGCGAGCGGCCTTAGGCGGGCGAGGGGCGACGGCATTTTCTTCCTTGTTATTTTTTTGCAGATGCTGTAACTTCGTCATTGTTAGAAGTCCCCGCAGTTACAGGTGCTTGCTGTTGTAACATCGCCAGCAGTGCCTGAACTTGTGCAGTGGTCAAGGCAAGGGGGCTGGCGTCAGCAGGGGCCGAGGGTGCCGAGGGCGCCGAGGGTGCCGCTGGCGCGTGCTCCATGTCGCGTGCGCCAGAAGGGCCAGCCTGGCCGGCCGAAGCGATGATGACAGCCGCGTCAGCGGCTGTCTTTTTGCCATGTCGCGCGACTGCTTGAAAGCAGCGCGCGTGGCAAGAAGCTCCTCGGAAGGCGCCGAGGAGGTCGCGCCAAACAGGACTTCGACGCCAGTGGCGAGGTCCTCGCGTGCCTCCTCGGCAGGACGTTTCGCACGACGCGCGGTTGCCCCGGGCAGACTTCCGGAGTTTTGCGCGTCTAGGGTGTTCGCCGTCTTGTTCCCTTCGCGAATAGAAACGTTGTTGACGGGCGCCATTGAAGCAATGTTGTGCTTAAGTATGTCGGCGAGAGGTGTTGTCGGAGCAGTAAAACGTGGAAGTGACTGAGTCTTCGCCAGATTGGACGAGATTGAGAGGAACTCAAACTAAAAATCTGAAAAGAAGAACGTGGGTGAGGCCAAATGGCCTCCAATCCCTCTTTTGTAGCCAAAAGAGGGCGAGTAGCGATGCGACGCTGCCTTTGCTGCGTTGGCAATCACTTCACTATCACAATACAAAATTTTAGAAAGTGAATACACTTTCAAAAATTATCATAATTAGAAGCGCACCCCCCTAAAAAACTCTGCTTTATTATAAGCGCAGGTGCGCTTCTATCCGGGGTAATACAGTAGTGTTAGGTGTTTTCCCTGCAATTTCAGGATGATGGTATATTTTACCCTCTCACTTCAGGATATTTTTTGTGTTGAGCCCTGAAATTTCAGGAAGGCCGTGAGATTTTGCCATGAAGCATCAGGACGAAGGTAGAGGGCTGCCCTGACGCGTATGCAGAAGGGGAAGGGGTGTGGGGGTGGGGGGGGGGGATGAGGGTGAGGGGAGAAAGGGGCGGGGGGGTATGTGTACTGGTTTTGTCTCCTCCCGGGGATTTCACCACTTCCTCGTTGTACCGTACCATGCACGCACCGGGCTTCCCAGTCATATCGTGCCTTCCCCTCCACCTCTCTCATGTCTTATGATTTTGTTGCCCAGAAAGATCAGGATGAACTCATGTAGGTGCCCTGAAAGTTCAGGATAGCCATAAAAAATTGCCCTGAAAAATCAGGGCATTCTTGAGAATTTTCAAAAGTTGCCCTGAGGGCTCAGGATGCCCGAAATCCTAGCACAGGCCCTGAGTGCGAGGTTTGGTGAAACAGTGCGCGCGAAGTTGGCGAAGCCCCGTTAGCAGTAACGGGCGAACAACGGCTGCTGCTGTACGCGATGTGTACGGTCACGGTAAGGAATAGTGAGAAAATTCCTTACACTACCCCCACCCCCCACCCCCCCCCCTCAAGAAGCCCCCTCCGCTACGCGAGTGCGTGTATATCGCGGAAACAGAAAATTCCTCAGGTACACTTGCAGGGCAGGGTGGTTTTCGATGTTGGCCAAGGGCACCCAGCTATCCTCAATTGGTGTGCGGTCCTTCCAACCATGCCCTCAGATTCACTTTTGGGGACGTTGATGCATCAGGGTCCCTGTGGACAAAAGGCTGATTTTCTGTGTTCCTAAAGAAAAAAAGCCTGATTTTTCAGTCCTGAAAAAGGAAGAACTCTGATTTACTCCCACATGTTGTTTTATATACAATTACAATCCTTACAGAATAAGACAGCTCAGAGCCTCGAACCTTAGACCTTACCCTTCGACGAAGATAAACTAACAACTAAGACACTCCAAGCTGGGCCAACATTTTGTAGTATACACTAACACAAAATTTTGGAGTACTGGTCATCTCTGTCAGAATCCCAACCACTAGACCATTGGGATAAAAGGACTTTTTAAGTAGCAGGTCAGTGCGCCCATAACCCCCCAAGACAACGAGCCTGTAACCCTTCCCTAGGATCAATCGGGGATCACCAGTGGACCTCTGACACCCCCCCGCACTGGGATGCCCGAAGTGCACATACTGGGATTCGAACACGAGACCGCTCTGATACCATGTCAGAATCCCAACCACTAGACCATTGGGATAAAAAGGCTTGTTTGTGTAGCGGGTCAGTGCGCCCATAACCCCCCAGGACAACGAGCCTGTAACCCTTCCCTAGGATCAATCGGGGATCACCAGTGGACCTCTGACAATCTCGGACGTTTTTCAGGAAGGATTAGGAATGTGCATTCAGTGTACACTTCGATAAAAGGCTGAAAACTCAGTATTAACTATGAAATGAAGGCTGAAATATCAGTATCACAAAAATCTACACATTGAAAAATCAATGAAGTACACAAAAGTAGGTTGAAAATCAGGAATTTCAGTGAAAAAAACTTGATATCGTAGGGCCTGCTTCCAGCGAACAAGGAACTCGATCCTCTTGATGCCTGTGGGGTGGCGAATCCAATGGTCAGATTTTTTCGGACTCGATGATCGGCTCCGATGCAGGGCGAGTCATGGATGGCGGTGTCAGAATGTATTTGCTGTTTAGCCTGCAGTGGGGTACTCTGTAGTGAGTACAACCCAATTCAGGGTTTGCTATTTGTATCCCAACTTCCTATAGTGAAACCATCTCTTTCTCGATTCTCCCTTGCACAATCCTCTCGACACTCTAACCTAGCTATGGCTCCTAAGCCTAAGTAACGCTAGGATTCTCACATGGTATTAAGAGCAACAATTTTCTAGGACCTAATCTCAATGGGCCCACCACCTACTGCCCTGCTAGCCTAGGCCCCGGCCCGTCACCCCTTGGCGTCGCCCCTAGCCCCTAGGCTCGGCCCCTTGGCCCCGTCGCCTCGGCCCCTTGGCCCCGTCGCCTCTTGGCGTCGCCCCTAGCTGTGCCCCTCGGCCCCGCTGGCTCCGTCGACTACGTCACCCCGCGCCCAGCCCGTACTTAGCTCGCAATCGGCCCGTACCTAGCCCGCGCTCGGCCCCGTTCCTAGCCCCGCGCCCAGCCCGTACCTCGCCCGCGCCTGGCCCCGTACCTAGCCCGCGATCGGCCCGTACCTAGCCTCGCGCCCGGCCTCCGTTCCGCGCCCAACGCCCAGCCCTGTACCTAGCCCGCGCCCGGCCCGTACCTCGCCCGCGCCTGGCCCCGTCCCTAGCCTGCGCCCGGCCCGTACCAAGCCCGCGCCTGGCCCCGTCCTTCGCCCAGCGCCCGGCCCGTACCTAGCCCGCGCCCGGCCCTCACTTAGCCCGCGACCGGCCCGTACCTAGCCCGTCGCCCGGCCTCGTACCTAGCCCGCGCCCGGCCCCGTACCTAGCCCGCGCCCGGCCCCATACCTGCCCAGCGCCCGGCCAAGTACCTACCCAGCGCCTGGCCCCGTCCCTTGCCCAGCGCCCGGCCCCGTACCTAGCCTCGCGCCCGGCCTCCGTTCCGCGCCCAACGACCGGCCCCGTACCTAGCCCGCGCCCGGCCCAGTACCTAGCTTGCGCCCGGCCCCGTACCTAGCCCGCGTCCGGCCCAGAACCTAGCCCGCGCCCGGCCCCGTACCTAGCCCCGTGCCCGGCCCCATTCCGCGCCCAACACCCAGCCCCGTACCTGCCCAGCGCCCGGCCCCGTCCCTAGCCCAGCGCCCGGCCCCGTACCTAGCCGCGCCCCTCGGCCCCACTGGCCTCGTCGCCCCTAGCTATGGCAAGAGGGGTGATGACTTCCTGCCCGCGTGCCCTGCAGTCGCACGCGCAGCTCCGCCCCCGCCCCCCTCCCCCCCCTCCCCCTCCTCCATGGGGACGGGGGGGAGAGGGTGTGAGGGGGTGGCGGATGTGCCTCAGCAGCAGCAGCTGCCGCCGCGCCTCCTCCTCTATCTCTCCCTGCCGCACCTTGTGTTGGGAGAGGGGGGGGAGCTTGGAGGTTCAGAGGGGGCAGGAGGGGATCTGCAGCACCAGCCCCCCCCGCCCCCCCCCCCCCTTTCTCCTCCACCCCTGCTGCGGGTGCAGCAGTGGGGGGGAGGGGATCTGCAGCAGCAGTGGGGGGAGGGGATTTGCAGCATCAGCCCCCCCCCCCCCCCGCCTCCTCCTCTATCTCTCCCTGCCGCACCTTGTGTTGGGAGAGGGGGGGAAGCTTGGAGGTTCAGAGGGAGGCAGGAGGGGATCTGCAGCACCAGCCCCCCCCGCCCCCCCCCTTTCTCCTCCACCCCTGCTGCGGGTGCAGCAGTGGGGGGGAGGGGATCTGCAGCAGCAGTGGGGGAGGGGATTTGCAGCATCAGCCCCCCCCCCCCTCCGCCCTTTTCTCCTCACTCTCCCTGCCGCACCCTGTGTTGGGAGGGGGGGGGAGCTTGGAGGTTCAGGGGGAGGCAGGAGGGGATCTGCAGCACCAGCCCCCCCCGCCCCCCCCCCCCCCCCCCCCCCTTTTTCTCCTCCACCCCTGCTGCGGGTGCAGCAGTGGGGGGGAGGGGATCTGCAGCAGCAGTGGGGGAGGGGATTTGCAGCATCAGCCCCCCCCCCCCCCCCCCCCCCCTTTCTCCTCTCTCTCTCCCTGCAGCACCCTGTGTTGGGAGGGGGGGGGAGCTTGGAGGTTCAGAGGGAGGCAGGAGGGGATCTGCAGCACCAGCCCCCCCCGCCCCCCCCCCCCCCCCCCTTTTCTCCTCCACCCCTGCTGCGGGTGCAGCAGTGGGGGGAGGGGATCTTCAGCAGCAGTGAGGGGAGGGGATTTGCAGCATCAGCCCCCCCCCCCACCCCCCCCCCCCCCCCCCCCGCCCTTTTCTCCTCTCTCTCCCTGCCGCACCCTGCTGTCCTGCTGCCCTGCGCGCCCTGCGCGCACTGCAGCCCTGCGCGCCCCGCGCGCCCTGCTGCCCTGCAGCCCTGTGCGCCCTGCTGCCCTGCAGCCCTGTGCGCCCTGCTGCCCTGCTGCTGCCGCTACAGCCCTTGCTGTTGCCGCTACAGCCCTTGCTGCTGCCCTGCGCGCCCCGCGCGCCCTGCAGCCCTGCTGCGCCCCGCGCGCCCTGCTGCCCTGTGCGCCCCGCGCGTCCTGCAGCCCTGCGCGCCCTGCGCGCCCTGCTGTCCTGCTGCCCTGCGCGCCCCGCGCGCCCTGCCGCACTGCAGCCCTGCGCGCCCCGCGCGCCCTGCTGCCCTGCAGCCCTGTGCGCCCTGCTGCCCTGCAGCCCTGTGCGCCCTGCTGCCCTGCTGCCCTGTGCGCCCCGCGCGCCCTGCAGCCCTGTGCGCCCCGCGCGCCCTGCAGCCCTGCGCGCCCCGCGCGCCCTGCTGCCCTGCAGCCCTGTGCGCCCTGCTGCCCTGCTGCTGCCGCTACAGCCCTTGCTTTTGCAGCTACAGCCCTTGCTGCTGCCCTGCGCGCCCCGCGCACCCTGCAGCCCTGCTGCGCCCTGTGCGCCCTGCAGCCCTGTGCGCCCTGCTGCCCTGTGCGCCCTGTGCGCCCTGCTGCCCTGTTTGCCCCGCGCGCCCTGCTGCCCTGCAGCCCTGTGCGCCTTGCTGCCCTGCTGCCCTGTGCGCCCCGTGCGCCCTGCAGCCCTGTGCGCCCCGCGCGCCCTGCAGCCCTGCGCTCCCCGCGCGCCCTGCTGCCCTGCAGCCCTGTGCGCCCTGCTGCCCTGCAGCCCTGTGCGCCCTGCTGCCCTGCTGCTGCCGCTACAGCCCTTGCTGTTGCCGCTACAGCCCTTGCTGCTGCCCTGCGCGCCCCGCGCGCCCTGCAGCCCTGCTGCGCCCTGTGCGCCCTGCAGCCCTGTGCGCCCTGCTGCCCTGCAGCCCTGTGCGCCCTGCTGCCCTGTTTGCCCCGCGCGCCCTGCTGCCCTGCAGTCCTGTGCGCCCTGCTGCCCTGCTGCCCTGTGCGCCCCGCGTGCCCCGCAGCCCTGTGCGCCCCGCGCGCCCTGCAGCCTTGCGCGCCCGGCGCGCCCTGCTGCCCTGCAGCCCTGTGCGCCCTGCTGCCCTGCTGCTGCCGCTACAGCCCTTGCTGTTGCCGCTACAGCCCTTGCTGCTGCCCTGCGCGCCCCGCGCGCCCTGCAGCCCTGCTGCGCCCTGTGCACCCTGCAGCCCTGCGCGCCCTGCTGTCCTGCTGCCCTGCGCGCCCTGCGCGCCCCGCGCACCCTGCTGCCCTGCAGCCCTGTGCGCCCCGCTGCCCTGCAGCCCTATGCGCCCTGCTGCCCTGCTGCCCTGTGCGCCCCGCGCGCCCTGCAGCCCTGTGCGCCCCGCGCGCCCTGCTGCCCTCTGCACGCGCCATGCACAGCCGCCCCCCCCCCCCCCCCCCCCCCCCCCCCCCCCCCCGCCCCCCCCCGCCCCCCCCCCCCCCCCCCCCCCTTTCTCCTCCATCCCCTGCTGCAGGTGCAACAGTGGGGGGAGGGTATGGGGGTGGCGGGTGTGTGAACCGTCCCCTGCTCCTCCTCCTCCTCCGTCTCCCACTGCTGCAGCTGCCGCTGAGGGGGGTGGGTGTGTGGGAGCCGAGGGAGTGGTGCTAAGGGGGTGACGTGGGAGTGGAGCTAGGGGTGCAGAAAGGGGTGTGTGAAAGGGGGGTGGGACAGTTGGGGGAGGTTGAGCGGAGGCTGCCGTCTTGTCGTCCGCAGCACCTGTAGTCCGGGGCTCTACTTCTGGTAGCTCAGAGAGCCTGCTGCACCTGTCGCCTGTGGGTCCGTTGCTCCTGCCGCTCAGAGTTAGCCGCAGAGCCAGTTACTCCTGTAGTCCGGGGATAAGGCCCCGGTAGCCACAGTGCGCGCCGCTCCTGTTGCCCGTGTGTCTGCAGCATCAGCCGTCACCTCCTATCTCCTCTCCTCTCACAGTCCAGCCTCCTCCTCCTCACTTGCCCCTTGTGAATGCCTCTAGCTTTGCTTGAACTTGTGAACCTGCTCTATGACTGCTTGCTCTAGCTTTGCTGTTTAGCCTGCAGTGGGGTACTCTGTAGTGAGTACAACCCAATTTAGGGTTTGCTATTTGTATCCCAACTTCCTATAGTGAAACCATCTCTTTCTCGATTCTCCCTTGCACAATCCTCTCGACACTCTAACCTAGCTTTGGCTCCTAAGCCTAAGTCACGCTAGGATTCTCACAGGCGGGCAGTGACGAGGCAGTTGGCTCGTGCTTGGGATGTAAGGGCGAACAGGCTGTCGTGAAATGATGGGCTGATGTACCAGTCTGTCGACAGCAGTAAGTGGGTGGTAACTGGGGTGATCATGTGGCTGATTTGAAATGGTCCACAGCAGGCCCTCAGATTCACTTTTAGGCACGTAAGTGCATCAGGGTCCCAAAAAAAAAAGCCTGAAATTTCAATGTTACTAAAAAAAAAGTCTGATGCATCAGTGTTCCCTTTTTTCAAAGGCTGTTGTTATTAGTAGAGGTCTTTAAATAATCATTAACACTAGCAAGGAAGCAGCATTCTATCTAAAACTAAACTATGCTAGATTGCTAGCATCAGCAAGAGAGGGTTTTAATCATCATCCTCACTGGCACAGCCATGGGCCTCTGGTTCTTCCCAGTCCTCATCTGACTCCTTTCCCTTGCCACTGCCTTCTCCCTCTCTTGCTGGTGGTGCTGCCACATTGCCAAATGGGCGGCGTTTCCTGTAGCCACGCCATATCTGCACCACTTCATCATAGTCTGGCTCGTACTCGAGTAGGTCTTTGAGGACGTGGCCACCACTTCATCAGTGTAGGTCTTCAAGGCGGGCGTCTTTGAGGCTGCCCCGCTACCATGATTTGATAAGATTCTGGAGCGAAAACCCGCACTCAGACTCCACTGTGCTCAGCGCCAACGCGGCGACAGCCACCCAGAGACGCACCAGGTTGGGGTAGCTCGTTGCCCAGTCGCTTGTTTTCAGCATCGCTATTAGCCCGGCGGGAAGCTGCGCTCGTTCTTCGGGGCACCTGCGAGGATGGGGCAGAAGGTACGCAGTTCCTTGATCGCCCGCTGCTTGTCGATCCCTGCCAGATAGACAGGAGGGAGAGAGAGAGAGATGGGATTAGACGTTCCTGATTGGCTCTTGAAACGCATGGGCCGATGGCGAAGCGACGACGCAAAGGAAGTCTACGTCACCATTGCCCAAGACCAACTCATCAACCTATCTACCCAGCTGCAGGACACATCCGCAGCCCCATCACCCACCATACACCAGCAGTCAATAGAGAGACACCGCCGGCCAAGAACGCACATGCCTCAGAAGCCCCATTTGGAATGAAGCACGCTGCCTTTGCAAGAGGACTAAGTGAGCTTTCACAAAATTATAATGTTTGAAAGTGTACTTTCTAAAATGTTGTATTGTGAAAGCGAGGACGTGGCCAGCGCAGCAAAGGAAGCGGTGCGACGCTACTCACCCCTCTTTTCACCTACAAAAGAGGGACGTAAGGCTATTCGCCTCACCCACGTTCTCCATTTCTAATTGTAGTTCTATTTTCCTGCCACCCACCCCATTGTGTATCATTATTACAGGCGAGAACGATGTAATACCCATTTGGAATGAAGCACGCTGCCTTTGCAAGAGGACTAAGTGAGCTTTCACAATCAAACTTCATGTAAATGCAAAGGAATACCTGGAATGATGTAGTCCGTGTCCTGTGCCCTGAACAGCGATACGAGTGACATGAGCCACTCGAGACACTGTTTGTGGCGCTCCGCCCTCCCAGGCTCCCACTCGTCTAGCATGAAGAGCCGGACTCCCACAAGGGAGTCCAGGTCTTTGAATCCGGTGGTGAGGTTTCGAACGAGCATTTCGGCGAACATGGTTCAGAGATCGACGTAGGCGTCGTGACTTCCCAGGGTTGGGTAGTCTTCGCATGGGTTCTCGTGTAGCTAGAACGTGTGAGTAGTCGGGCGACCGTCTGAGTCCACTCCCTGCACCTTCACCTCGGGGGAGCCACCGTCAAGCCCGTGCTTCTTGATGAACGGTGATAGGCGCGCGCTCATCCCGTCTCCGAAATCGTCACCACTGTCGACATAGTGGGACTCGAGGTAAGACAGTGATCTTCGGATTTGGGCGTGTACACCTGCAATGTCAAGCTAATAGGGGCGGACAGAAAGGACACATAGGGAGACAGAACAATAGAGGGTATGTACACAAAGTCAGTGCGCGGCATCATGTTTCCGCAGTCACTAGTAATCCATTAAAACGCACAATCTTAAGCCAAGCAAAGAAAAACGAGACTTCAGGGGAGGTGCAGCAGACGCTCTACACAGCCATGCAAGTAACCCTGCTCACCTCTCGCTGCTGGAATGCCCTGTTCAGGGAATTCAGCCGCTCGAGCACATATGCAAGGAAATACAACAGGAAGTGAAACCTGTAGCAGGAGGCGAGCTCGTACAGACTGCTGTCCCACTCATACTGCATGACGATGAGCGCGGGGAAGACCTCTACTGCGCGCAGAATGGCGTCACCCCTGGAGAGCCACCAGACTTGGTGAATCCCTTGGAGCTCCAGGTTCGTGGCGGTGAAAACCTCCTGAAGTGCAACAAACCACTAATGCCAAGGGCCAGAACGCCCCAGATGCTCAGCCACTTGGTGGACCAGCGAGTCGACCATCTCGAACTCGGGAAGTGCTTCAGCTGCATCTTTTGCTGCGAGCGCCTCCCTGAGATCACAAGAAAACACCAACAAGCACCATGATGCATGAGCACGGGTTGCTACAATACTCTTGAGAAGCGCAAACTAAACCGGGAACATACACGTGGGCGACGCAGTGGCTTAAGACGAGATGCGGTATGCGGAGGCGGAGTCGAGCGACAAGGCCATTAGTTTTCCCATCATCACACTTGCGTCGTCAATGCTTATGCCGGCGATCCTGGCAAGATCGATGCCGAGGGCGTGCAGGTGGGACAAGAACACTGATAGGAGAGACGCAACATCGCCCTTATCCACAGTCAGCAGGGCAAGGAATTCAGTGACGACACGGTTGTCACAGATGAAAGTGGCAAAAAGAATCATGTGCTTTCCCTGGCACCTATCCGTGCTCTCGTCACATGTAACACCGAGGTACGAGCTTGAAAGGATGTGCTGCAGTTGCGCATTGTGCAACCATGTGGCCATCGATTGAGTTAGTTGCCCGAAGCTGTATCTGTGGCGCATGAGAAACAACACAATGTTAGAGATACTGTTTCCCGAAACACAAACACAACTTACATGTTTGGGAAACGATTACTCACCTAGTGTAATAGGTTCCATAACCTTTCGCGGGGAACCCAGGAACCTTCAGCGCCGCGAGGTAGCGTACAAGATTCACCCATAATTGTATGGGTGCATCTTGCTTGGTGACAAAGAGGAGGGAATCGAGCAACTTGATGACACGTTCCTTCTCGGTGTCGCGAGCAAGATTGTCGCCGTTGATCTGGGGCTGCTTGGCCGCTTCCGATCTGGGGCTGTTTGGTTGTTGATGCATGCCTTTTGAACGCCTGCGTCTACACGTCTGTGGCGCCCTTACCGCCTCTCCCGCACGGACCAGAGTAGCCTGCGTGCTCAGTACAGATACTGCACTTGAAAGCACGGAAACCGTCAGAACGTTTTAGCAATATGAGCCAATCAAACCTCTCTAGCCACTCGCTTTTGTACTTATAAAGAGCCTCGACGTAACTCGCATCAGGGCCTGCAAGTTTAGAAGGCCCGGGAACAGATGGCTGTCAAACTTATATGCTATAGTCCATCTAGGCTTTAGTGGGGTAGTTCATATAGGGTACAACATTTTTACGTTTCCTACTTGTACCCACATGCTTGCTAGTTCAGTCATTCATTCGTTCCATATTCTAACATGGTATTCTGAGCAGGTTCCCTCGTGGGAACGTTTTTTTAAGGGCCCACCACGAACATTTCTTTTTTTTTTTTCTTGCCCTGCTCGAAGCGCGCCTCGCGCCTGCCTTACCTGCGCCGTCGCGCGCCCTTCTCTAGCTGGCCCGTCGCGGCCCTGCCTCAGCCGGCCCGTCCCGGCCCGTAGCTGCCCGTCGCTAGCCCGTCGCCACGCGTCGCGGCCCTGCCTTAGCCGCCCACTACGGCCCCGCGCTCGCCCGTCGCTGGCCCGTCCCGGCCTGTCCCGGCCCGTCTCGGCCCGACCCGGCCCGTCCCGGCCCGTCTCGACCCGTCCCGGCCTGTCCCGGCCTGTCGCCGGCCTGTCCCGGCCCCTTTGCCGCCCGTTGTCGGCTCGTCGCCGCCCGTCGTCGGCCCGGTTGCCGCCCGTCGCGGCCCGTTCGCCGACCCTCGTCGGCCCGTTCGCCGCCCGTCGCGGCCTCTGCCCTGCAGCCGCCCAGTCGCGGCCTCTGCCATGCAGCCGCCCGTCGTCGGCCCGTTCGCCGCTTGTCGTGGCCCTGCCCTGCAGCCACCCCCTGTCGCGGCCCTGTCCTGCTGCCGCCCCAGTAGCGGCCCTGCCTTCGCCGCCCGTTGTGGCCTCTGCCCTGCAACCGCCTTATCGCGGCCCTGCCCTACTGCCGCCCCTGTCGCGGCCCTGCCCTGCTGCTGCCCCGGTCGCGGCCCTAACCTAAACCGCCAGCTGCGGCCCTGCCCTGCACCCGCCCCAGGTAAGCACCCGCGCTGCCTTGCCGCGCAGCGCGGCCTGCTGCCGCGCCGCGCCGCTAGGAACCGAGCCGCGCCGCCCTGCCGAGCCGCGCCGCCCAGCCGAGCCGCGCCGCCCCACCGAGTCGCGCCGCCCAGCTGAGCCGCGCCGCACTGTCGAGCCGCGCTGCCCTACTGCTTGCACTGCTCCTGCTGCTACTGCTGCTACTACTGCTACTGCTGCTACTGCTGCTATGGCTAGCCCTACTGTTCTCACCTTTGAAACTGAGGGGCGTGCAGTTGACTTTGACGTGTGGGTTGACGACCTGCAGCTTTTTCTTCAGTGTGATTCCAGGGATGGGGTATCCCTGTTCGATCACACGTCCGGTGTCTCTACTGCACCTGCTGCCACTGCTGACAGTACGTTTCGGTCACAGTGGACCACTCGTGACGCCGTTGCTCGCCTTGCTGTTCGTAGTCACCTGCCGTCTGCTGAGCGCACGCATTTTGGCCAGTACAAGACTGCTAAGTCTTTGTACGACGCTGTCGTAGCGCGCTACTCCTCCCCTGCCAGTGCTGCCCTCAGCTGCCTCATGCTACCGTACCTTTTCCCTGACCTTGCCACCTTTACCACAGTCCCTGACCTCATTTCTCACCTCCGCACTAGTGACGCCCGCTACCGCTCTGCGCTTCCCACTGAGTTCTGTGCCAAGAACCCCCCCCCCTATGTACATCACCCTTTACTACCTAGTCACTCGCCTCCTTGACTCCCTTGCATCAGTCAGGGACCACTTTCTCTCCCTTTGCCCCACCGAGCTCACTCTCGACCTGCTAGAGGAGCGCCTCATTGCGGCTGAGAAGAGTATCTTAGCTGTAGGTGCTTCTCGCGGCGACCGTCGCACCCCTTTCTTTGAGGGGTGTTCCCCTGTCCCCCTTCTCCCCTCTGTTGCTTCTGCTGCTGCTATCAACCCCGTTGGCACTGAGGAGGTTGGGGCAGCGTCTGCTCCTAGTGGGAGGCGCCGCAACAGCAAGGGCAAGGGGGGCAAGGGTGGTGGAGGGGACGGTGGGGGCGGCGGTGGAGGCGGTGGAGGAGGCGGAGGGGGTGGCGGTGGAGGTGGGGGTGGTGGCGGGAGTGGAGGCTTCGGTGGCGCCAGTGGGGGTGGTGGAGGCAGCGGCAGCGGTGGTGGATTTGGCGGCGGCGGTGGTGCTGGTCGAGGTGCAGCCGCGCAGCGTGGAGGCTTTGGTGGTAGCCAGCGCCAGCAGCAGCCGCGTTCCCGTGAGACCCCATCGGCCCAGCAGCTTCGTGAGTGGTACGCTGGGCGTGGGAGGTCTGGGGGTACTGGTCCCTGCACTTACGTTCTTCGCACCGGAGGGCGTCGTGGGGAGACGTGCGGGCTGCCATACACTGCGCAGCGCTGCTTCGGTCGTCTGTCTGACGCCTGGCGCGCCCAGTTTCCTGACGCTGTTGAGCTCCCTCGCTGGGGTGATCTGCTTAGGCAGAATGTTGCTATCTTTGATCTTGATTTCGATACTATCCTTGCTGCCATGTATGCTGTGACTGATAGTGCTGAGGGTGACTGTTACCTGAGTGTTCCGCCCGGCCCGGGTATTGAGGCTGCTACTCTAGGTGCTAGTGCATCTACTGCTCCAGGTACTGGTGAGTCTGCTGCTCCAGGTGCTGGTGAGCCTGCTGCTCCAGGTGCTGGTGAGTCTGCTCTCTCTGGTACTGCACCTACTGAGACCTTGCACACTTTCACACTGGACTCTGGTGCTTCGCGCTCTTTCTTTAGAAACAGCACCACACTCACGCCGCTCAGTCGGCCTGTCGCAGTCTCCCTTGCTGACCCCTCTGGGGGCCCAGTCCTTGCGCAATCCTCCATGGTTCTACCGTGTCCTGCGGCCCCGTCGGGCTTGCTGTCGGGACTCCACCTCCCCTCGTTCTCTACGAACCTGGTGAGTGGAGCTGACCTCCAGGATGCGTGGGTTGACCAGTTCGCCCCTGGAGGTCAGCGTGTGACCCACTGCACTTGCTCTCGGACAGGCCGCCACCTGGCCACGTTCACCCGTCGGCCAGGGTCGAGTCTGTACACACTGACAACTGCGCCTCCTCCGGTCTATGCGTCTAGTCAGGTAGCTGCGTCTAGTCAGGTGTTTGCTGCCGCGTCCAGGTCTAGTCCTGCGTCTGCCCCCTGCTCTTGTCGTCCTCTGTCGCACGAGACTCTCCTTTGGCACCACTGCC